TCTAAATATTTAAAAACTGTAACATTTGGGATAAAAAATATACTCCATTATTGAGTTTTTAATATATATCATGCCAACAGGGTTACGTCGTACTTGGGTTTTGAAATGTGGTGTTGAGTATTTGTGAGGCGTAGAGGAATGACCAAGACAGATCACATGAAACTTGTAGACCATTGTTCATTGTATGTACTGCTATGTCGTTTTTGTTTGTTAAAAGTATCTTGATAACATCTCAAAGATTTTTTTAATTGAGATATAATTGATATATAACATTGCGTAAGTTTAACGTGTACAGTGTGTTGATTTGATACATTTATATATTGCAATACCATTATCACTGTAGAGTTAGCTAACACCTCCATCACTTCACATAATTATCATTTCTTTTTTTGTGGTGAGAACATTCAAGATCTAGTTTCTTAGAAATTTTGAAATACATAATACAGTATTGTTGACTATAATCGCAATACTGTACATTAGATCTCCAGCGCTTATTCACTTTCTAACTGCAAGTTTGTACCCTTTGACCAGCATCTCTCCAGTTTCCCCACCATTCAGCCTCTGGTAACCAACACTCTACTCTCTGTTTCTTTGAGTTTGGCTTTTTTAGATTTCACATATAAATGCTATCATACAGTATTTATCTTCCTCTGTCTGGCTTGTGTCACTTGGTATTAATGCCCTCATGGTCCATCCATATTGTCTCAAACAGCAAGATTTCCTTCTTTCTCATAAGTGGATGATAATCTATTGTGTATATATACATCTTCATTATCCATTCATCCATTGCAGACCTTTAGGCTGTTTCCATATCTTGGCTGTTGTGAATAATGCTGCAGTAAACATGGGAGTGCCGTTTTCATTTCCTTTGGTTAAATACCTAGAAGTAGAATTGCTGGGTCATAAGGTAGTTCTATTTTTATTTTTTTTGAGGAACTTTCATACTCTTTTTCCATAGTGGCTGCACCAATTTACACCCCCACCGAGAGAGTACAGACCTTTTCTCCACATCTCTACCAACACCTATTTCTTGTCTTTTTAATTAATTAATTTATTTTCCTGGCTTTTTTGAAGTTGTTCATATTTACATTGTACAATTTAATGAGTTCTTTTTTCAGTTATAGTTGGCATACAATAATATACCAGTTTCAGTTGTACAACCTAGAAATCAGAGATCCACATAATTCACAAAGTGATCACCCCACTAAATCGAGTATCTCTCTTCCCCTTACATATTTATTACATTATTAACCATCTTCCTCATGCTACACTCTACATCTCTATGTCTATTCTACAACTATCTATTTGTATGTCTTAATCCCTTTGCCTTTTTTTCCCACCCTCGTAACCTCCCTCCCATCTAGTAGCCTTCATAATATTCTGTATCTATGAGTTTATTACTGCTCTTGTTGTCGTTTATTCTTTAGATTCCACGTGTACGTGAAATCATGCAATATTTGTCTTTCTCTATCCTTCCTATTTCATTCAGTGCAATACCCTCTAGGTCCATCAAGGCAATATCTTTCTCCATCCCCTTGCTTTTATTTTTAGTCTGTGTGTCTTTCAATCCGAAATGAGTCTCTTGTAGGCAGCATATGCAGGGGTCTTGTTTTCTAATCCATTCAGCCACTCTATCTTTTGGTTGCAGCACTTAATTCTTTTCCATTTGAGGTACTTCTTGATAGGAATGTAGTTATTACCATTCTTTATTCCTGTTTTTGATACATATTTTTGTCTTCTTATGGAAGTTCCTCCAACATTTCTTGTAATACTGGCTTGGTGTCGATAAATTCGTTTAGCTTATTTTTGTCTGAGAAGCTCTTTATCTGTCCTTCAACTCGAAATGATAGTTTTGCTGGATAAAGTATTCTTGGTTGCAGATTCTGGGTTTTCATCACATCGAATATTTTGTGCCAAGCCCTTCTGTCCTGTATGATTTCTTTTGAGAAATCAGCTGCCAGTCTTATGGGTGCTCCCTTGTAGGTAACTAACTGTTTTTCTCCTGCTTTTAAGATTTTCTCTTTGTATTTAACCTTTTGCATTTTAATTTTGATGTGTCTTGGTGTGGGCCTCTTTGGGTTCCTGTTTCTTAGGACTCTCTGAGCTTCCTGGAGATGTATGTCTCTTTCCTTCACCAGGTGAGGGAAGTTTTCCATCATTATTTCTTCAAATAACTCTTCAACATCTTGTTTTCCTTCAGGTACTCCTATGACACGAATATTTTTACATTTAATAGTGTCTCATAGGTTCCTTAAATTATCATTATAGCCTTGGCTTCTTTTTTTCTTGCCATTCTGATTGAGTATCCTCGGCTTCCCCATCCTCTATATCGGTGGTTTGATCCTCTTCTTTATCCACTCTGTTTTATCTCTATAATATACTCTACATCTCAGATAATGTGCTCTTCATTTCTGACTGGTTCCCTTTTATAATTTCCATTTTTATATTTTTTATCTCTTTGTTAAAGTTCTCACTGAATTTATCTATACTTCCCTAAATTCATTGAGCATCTTTATAACCAGTGTTTCGAATGTTGTGTGTGTTAGATTACTTGATTCCATTAATTCTGGATCTCTGTTCTGTTCTCTCATATGGTTTCTGTTTGTCTTCCCATTTTGGCCTTTCTGTGTCTGTTTCTATGTACTAAGCAAAGCTCCTAAGTCTCTCAGTCTTATTAGCATGGCTTTGTTTAGTAGGTGTCCAGTGGCACAGTCCTGAGAGGGGTTCAACTACAGGCCAAGTTTAGCCCCAGCCTGTGCCTCTCTGGGGTCACCTGTTAAGATTCAGCAAGCAATCCACAGATGCTGTGCTTACAGTTGCCTCAAGAGGCCACACCAGAAACCGAGGCCAGCTGCCTCCAGTGTGAGTCTAGGTGTTGCTCAGCAAGGAACACCTGACTCACTGAGGATACTCCTGGATGTGGCCTGGGTAGAGCCACAAGTTGGGGGAGGCAGGGTTTCAGGGAATCCTCTGGGCGGAGCTACCTCTGTTATCCAGTTTGATGACCTCTCAGCTATGGTGGTGCTGCATCTGCGCACTGGTGAAGGGGAGAGGTCTCAACAAAGAAACAGTGGATACATCGGCATTTCTGTCTGGTGGAGACCCTAGCCTCTGGTCCTCACTCCAACAACTCAGTGTCCCCCTGTAAGTCTCTGGTGCCCTCCGTGCAGCCAAACCGGCACTAGTGCTCAGAGTGAGCAGGTCCGTCACCATGAAAGTCCTTTTGTGGACATGGCCCCTTTAAGTGGCATCTGCAGCTGCTGGCTGCCGCTGCTATGGCCTCTGTCCCATTCAGTTGCTTGGGACCAGGCAACTTTGCGTCCTTGCCTGTCCTACCTCCTCCTGTTGCAGGGTGATTTGTTATTTCTCTTCCTAGTTATATGGCTTGTTTTTCTAACTCCCAGGCAACTTTCCTTGCTGTTTGTTCCTTGTTTCTGTCACAGTTTTGATTTGCTTGCAAGAGGGATGGACAGAGCCTCTATCGTCTACGCCATATTTTTCCTCACCTTCTTGACTTTTTTTTTTGATAATAGCTATTCTAACAGATAGGAGACGCTATCTCATTGTGGTTACGATTTACATTTCCTTGATTAGTGATGTTGAGCATCTTTTCATGTACCTGTTGGCCATCTGTATGTCTTCTTGGGAAAAATGTCTATTCAGATCTTCTGCATTTTTTAATCAGATGATGATGATGATGATGATAATGATGATGATTTTGAATACTATGAGTTCTAATATCCCAAAGTTGTTGACACTCCCCAGAGATGAACCAGGGGGAACAATGCCTTGGGTGAAACTGTTTTTCAGAGTTTTAAGCCTGAGTTTATCCCAGGACAGTGAGGTAGCTAAAACTTTGTTCTCCTGCCAAACTCAGCTGGGTGGGTGCTGTAAAATATTTGTTTAATATAAAGAACTCAAGTTGTTATTTTCCATTTCTTCAGCCCATCAGATTTGGGCAGGGGCTGGAATTCACACAGACGGCTTATTTGGGGTATCTCATCTCACTGCATAATGGATCACCACAAACTTGGTGGCTTAAAACAATACAAATTAGCTCACAGTCTGTAGGTCAGAAGTCAGGGAATGGTGAAACTGGGTTCTCTGCTCAGGGTCTCAGAGGCTGAAACCAGAGTGACAGCCAAGCTGCATTCCTTTCTGGAAAATAATTCACTTCGTGGCTCACTCAGGTTGTTGGCAGAGTTCCAGTTCCCTGCGGTTATACAACCTACGGTCTCTGTTTCCTTATTTCCTTGGCTCTACCTTGAAAGATCACTGCTCATTTTAATTATAAAGTTTTTTCACATTTTTTCATTTAAATTTCACATCAATTTCGGGTTCATATTTTTGTCCCGAAGCATCAGATGAGTAATGTGAGGCTCAGAAAGTTTAACTGACTGAGCCAGATTGCACAGTTAATAAACAGCAAAGCCAAGACCAGACACTTTTCTAATAGACCACAATGGCTACATTCTTGCTTTTTAAATAACATTTATTGAGTCCTTACAGTTCTGAACTGGGTGATAAGATATTAAAACGAATAACATATGGTAACAGTCCTTGAGGAAGTCCAGGTCTTGACCTGTTGTACTGTAATGAATAAGTCAGCTTCAGAAATTTGACCACAGTGTTGTAGAAACCTCAGGATGGAGCAGTAAATCCTGCTTCAGTAGGAGGATTAACTGAGAAGTTTGCCGGTCTTGAAAGATAAATAGCTGTTACAAGAAGAGTGGGAGATATGGATGGGAAGGTTATTCCAGGCAGAGGGAACAGCATGAGCAAAGGCATGAAATTGCCAGGGTGCCTGGCATGGCAGGTAGCAAGAAGAAGTGTAGCATATTGGGGGAGAGAAGGCTGGTTGTATTGCAGTCGGGGCACCAGCTACAGTTTGACAAGCAGATGTGACATTGTCAGGTTGGAGGGTAGATGCGAGCAGGTATTTATACCCATTTCCTCTCTCAGTTCTTCAACTCCTGACCCAAGGTATTCTGTTTCCTTAGCTGAACTAGATGCAGAGCACAGCCAGAAGGTCCTGGAAATGGAACACACCCAGCAAATGAAGCTGAAGGAGCGGCAGAAGTTTTTTGAGGAAGCCTTCCAGCAGGACATGGAGCAGTACCTTTCCACTGGTTACCTGCAGATAGCAGAGAGGCGAGGCAAGTCCAGGGGTGGGCTGCTGGCAGCAGGGGCTCCCTGGGTGTGTAGAGATGGTATTGTGGTGCCCCCACCCCCTGACTGAGGTGTCGGATAAAGCCTCCCAGATCGAAGTGGATGCATCATAATTGTCCTGTGGTTGTTTTTGCCTCTTCTGTAGTTCTGGCTTTAGTTGAAGATACTTAGGAAATGTGAAATATGTTAGGGGGGAAAAAAAGACATCACCCATATTCTACAGCACTGAATAATCCCTATTTCTGTTTTAGGGTGGTTCTTTCGTGCGTGTGTGTGTGTGTGTGTGTGTGTGTGTGTGTGTGTGTGTGTGTGTCTTTATATAATTGGTATCAAACTGTACATACATCTGGTTTTGTATCTACCTTTTCTTCATACCGTATGGGGCTCTTTCCCCTTACATTATTAAAAATTCTTTGAAAGGGTATATTTTAGCACTGATCTTAATATACTTAACCAGTTCCCTAGTTGAATGTTTAGAATCTTTACCTCTATATATGGTGCTATGGGGAATATCTAGATGCATAAACGTTTGGCTGCATCTCTGGTAGTTCCCAAGAGCACGCTGAGTAGCAGAGAAATCAGGTACCAGGCTCCTTCATCCGGCCTCTCCTTCCCAAGACCTGGGTGGGTGCCTCAGGGAGTGGTTGGGTAGCAGGGGCAGCGGCAAAGCGCTGGGCAGCTCACATTTTCCCTCAGACTGGTGCTGAGAGGGCAGGAGCAGCCTCCCAGTCACAGGCAGTGTGGAGTGCCCAGGGCTTCCGTCCTCCTGGGCATCTTGGCTCCTGGAAACCCCCTTGTCTTCCCAGATCTCTCTCTACTCAGTCTTCTTCCTCTTCTCTTGCCTGCCTGGCCCTGGACTTTGTTCTCTGTGCGCTGACCCTCATCCACACACCCCTGGTTTATCTCTGTTACCCGTACTCTGTTCCTGGTCAGTCAGTTTCATGTCCACCCCCAGGAGAGGTTAAGGAAATCAAAGAATGAGGAAGGAAAATAACGTAGAGAAAACAAATGAACTGTAATATGTGAATGCCTCAGAATGCACTGAAGGATGCATTATGTGGATAATGCTCTTTAAACTATGGTGGACAGTATAGATTTGAAGTTTAATCTCTGTCTCCAGAGTCAGCTCTCTCTCTGTCTTCATCTAGAAAAGTCAGCCTGCCTGTTTCCTCAGAGTATGTTCAGAATTCAGTTTCTTTAGTATTTGGTGCTCGTTATGGGGAGAGCCGTCCCTGTTGCTCCAGGGATTTATGTCCTGTCACGGGTAGGATCTGAGAAGGACACCATCTTAGTCAGCTTGGGCTGCCATAAGAAAATAGTCCAGACTAGACTTGGCTCAAAAAAACCAAAGTTGTTTTCTCCTATTTCCAGAGGCAGAAAGTCCTAGATCAAGGTGCTGGCTGATTTGGTTCTGTCGGGGTTCTTCCTGGCTCGTACCTCACTGTATCCTCACCTCACGTGATAGAGCTCTCTGGTGTCTATTCTTAGGAGGGCACTAATCCCACCATGAGGACCCCATCCTCATGACCTCATCTAAACCTACTCACCTCCCAATGGCCCCACCTCCAAATACCATCATATCAGGGTGTAGGGCTTCAGCATATGAATTAGGTGGGGGGCACAAACTTTCAGTCCATCACAGACATACACTCCCTGGCAAATTTGACTCACAAATTTGAGTATAACGAGACAGTACACCAAGAGGGCATGGAGAAGGTGGTGGTAATGAAGAGTACAGTAATAGAAACTCTTATGGCTTAAACAGTTTAACACTGTCCTTGTTCAGTTTAGTTCAGCAGACATTTCCTGAGCACTCGCTAAGTGTTCAGCATACTTTTAGGCCCAGGGGAGGCAAAGAGAAAGTGAAAGTGCCTCTTAAGAAGCTCCTATTCTTAAGGAAACCCATGAACACACACTGAATGGGGCGATGAAGTAGTAGAGGAATGACAGGTTCAGGAGTCCCTCTTCCCATTGATGGGAAGCGCCTTGAGATAAGGACTTGTCGTGTGTTGAAGGACCCTCTGGGGCTAGCACAGTATAGTGCCGGGTAAAGAGCAGTGCTCAGCCAGCACTTATTGAACAGATATCAGCTAAACATTATGAATTTTTTGGTTTTCAGCACTTAAAAATAATTTTCTTCAAGTTTCAAAAAAGTGTTGGGCTCATTTTTTTTAGGTAAAAAATTCAGTCAAGCATATGTTGCCAATATGTGTGGTTTTGAAAGCAATGAAGAAAATTGGAGTATGTGGGCTTTTAAGCTTTCTGCTTCAGCTAGAGCTGAAAAGATTCACAAATGACAAACATGCACGTCTCCACAGCCTGTTCAGAGCCATCCTTTAAGACTTCCCAGCCTGGCAAGTCACACTTCTCTTTCTTACTGGGTATTCATCTCCAAGGATGAACATGGGGAACGTTTAATTTAGAAGAATCAATCAAAATTAAAAATCTCTTCAGTGAACATGGTATTTTGGACTTTTTCCACTAAATCAGAAATAGCACTCTAAATTTTTCTCACTTTCCAAAGCATCATTTTTTAATTAAGACAAAGGCATGGAAAGTTTTATCCAGAAAATGATCAGAGGGAAGGGTGAAGGAACATCTGTGACCACATGGTGGTGGAGGACCCCAGAGCCTCCTATGTCCGAAGAGGAATGAAGACAGTGCCAGCAGTGCTGAGACGCAGATGGGGCCTGGGACCCACCATGTGCCCAGCAGGTCTGCATGCATTAGGACATGATTAGGTACTTTGTAAGACTCTGACGCACTTGACCTGACGCCCATTTTCTTAGAAAAGCATTTATTGCTCTCATTTTATTGCCAAGTGCCGAGGGTATTGACATTGCAGTTTGGTATGAATAGATCACCTTGGAGGCGTCCTATTCTTTAACTGTGTCTCCCCACAATTAGATCTCAGGTTCCTGTGCATCTCTGCTGAGCTGGTAGTTCAGCAAAGTCCAGCCTCTGGTGCCAGGGGTGCACCTTGTGCCCTCAGACACTGTCTCAGCCCTCGAATGTTCCAGACTGCACCCAGTACCCAGGGAAGAGAAGAGGTGATGTTGGGGCTGGCGATTAAATAAACAAAGTTAGAAAAGATAGAATGGGTAAAAATGCACCTATCCTAAAATTCAGTGTTCTTCGAGATATGATCTAGAATGTAAAAATATCTCAAAACACAATTGCCAGCTTGTGATTTTAACTTTGTATGATTGTCTCCCCGGGGGTTTTATTTACAACTTTGACCCTTATTGTGATCTACTACTGGTTTTCACTTTAATTAGGAAGCATTTTAAATATCCAGAAAAGAACTGAAAATACTGTAACATACCTGTTTTCAGATTTAACGTGTTACTATTTTTACGATATTTGCTTCAGATATTTTTAAAATATTAAGAAATATTCCAGACATAAAAAAAAGGTTTACGTTATAAGGATATAAGTATATCTTTGATATAACTCCAAGTTATATCCATCTACTAAAAGTTTTAATGTTTTCCATTTTATATTTGGCTCTTAAGTCCACCACCAGTTGATTTTTGTTTATGTTCTGAGGTAAGGATCCAGTTTTAATTTTTTCCCCAAACAGTAACTATTTAAGTACCAGCATTCTTGCTCCACTGCTTCACCTTGTCTTATCAGTTTCCACACATTGTTGTCTTTTTAGGCTCTCTTTTCTATTCCATTCTTCTACTTGTTAGCCTTGAGCCAAAACCATACCATCTTAATTATATTTCATCAAGCAGTGGTTCTTAACTAGGGACAGTTTTTGCTTGATGTGATTGGGGTAGGGATGTGTTTCTGGCATCTAGTGGGTTGGGTAGAGGCCAGGGATGCTGCTAAATATCCTACAATGCACAGGATGGCCCTCTGCCCCCTGCCCCCACCCTCACCCCCCACACAGCAAAGAATTATCTGCTCCAAAGAGTCAGTAGTGCCTAGGTTGAGAAACCCTGTTTTATAGCAAGTCTTGCTTTGTGGTAGACTGATTCCTGCACACCCCTGTACACATTTCATGTATTTTTTTTTTTCTTCAGAGTTGCCTTGGCTTTTCCTTGGCTCTTTGTCCTTTTATAAATGTTAAAGTCAGATTTTGATTCTATGAAAAACCCTGTCTAGACTTTTGTCGGAATGGCCTTAAGTTTCCAGCTTGAGCGAGAACTGGCATCTAAGTGGGGTTGAGTTTCTGTGCACGCACATGTGAGCTCTCATCATGTTTCCTGAGCAGTGGGTAGAACTCGCCTCTAACGCTGTCTGGGACCGGTGGTTTCTCTATGGGAGGAACTACCTATTCTTTTTCTCTGGTAGTTATAGCAGTTTCCTATTTCTTATTAATTTTAGCAGATTTTCCATGGAATTTGTCCAGCTTGCCTTTACTTTTCAAACATATTAGCATAACGCTGTCCGCAGTACTTGGAGTTAGGTTGGTTTTTGCATTCCTCAATTTGTTAATTTGTGCCTTTTATTGTTTTCCTTGGTGAATCTTAAATAAAACATATTCATTTTTAAGTGTTTTCTCCAAAGAACCCACTTTTAGTTTTATGATTCCTCTCTACTATATATTTCATTCATTTCTCCTTTTTAGTATTGGGTTTTTTTATTTGTCTGTTTTTTGGTTAAAAAAATATTTTTGGTCTGATTTAAGTTGAATGTTTAGACTCAATTTTCAGCTTTCTCTTAAGGCATTCAAAGTAGTGATTTTTTTTTTGCTAGGGTTGAAAATTCCAAAGTAGGAAATTCTACTTTAACAGAATTCTATAAGTTTTGATAAGTAATAGATTCTGGGTATTTATAGTTTTTCATTAGGAGTTCTTAAGATTTGTTTAGAAATGTGTTTTAAAGAAATGTGTTTTAAAATAATGTGTGAAGGTTTTTCGAGTTACCCTTTATTACCGATTTGTGATTAAATTTAATTGTGGTTGGAAAATGGGCTTTTGATTTATTTATTTATTTTTAATTCAAGACTTACTCTGTGGTCCGTTACAGACCATTTTCCTCCATGTTTCATGTATACTTGAGAACAAGATTCTCAGTGATAGGCATGGATTCTGTATGTGTCCATTTCATCAAGCCTGTTCAGTGGCTTGTTCGGATATCTCCTAATTACTAATTTTTGGATTGTTTAATTATCAGTTATCAGAGGTATATTTAACCTTCCTACCTCCCATGATTATGGGTGTTACATTTGTTATTCAAGCCATCTTTTTGCTTTAAAAACGTCACCACAAAATGTGTAGTCACACAGAAATTTTGAATTATCTTCCTGGCGAATTGAACCTTTAAAAAAAATCAAGTACAACTCTACCCAAATGTTGTTTTGTTTCCCCTTATATCTGTTTTGATATTAATATAGCTATACCAGTTTCCTTAAAGTTGTTTTCCCACTTTCCACTTTAAAAAAAATTTTTAATGTTTCTGTGTCTATTTTAGGAGCATCCCCTATAAACAGAATATAGCTAAATTTTTATCATTTTAATTGTTTTATAATGTTAACTGGCAAGTTTGGTTCATTTACATTTATTGTGATTGCTGACATAACTGGCTTCATTATCACCTTATTTGGTGCTATTTTCCTGAAGGCTTTTCCTATCCTCTTTAGTCCACTTTTTTTTCTATTTTGAAAGTTAAACACCTGCCCTCTTTGACAGGACAGATGGAAAAGAAGGGACCCTCTGCCCCTTTCAAGTCTTAAATCAAAGCAGGGCCGAAAGCCAAAAAAGCCGGGCCATGCTGAAGACTCCATAGCCACATAAGAAAGCCTGTATGTCACTCACTTCATGGCAGCTCAGTACCTGTGGAAGAGCGCTCGTAGCAGGAACAGGTGTGACCACTGTGCCATTAAGTGCCCAATGACCACTGTGCCATTAAGTGCCCCCTGACCAGTCACCCTTGAAGAGGCTCCAGGATAAAACTGCATTGGTGTCCCTTGTGCGTCTGTCAGGCTGTGCATGGGAAGCAGCTTTGTGACATTGATGTGGCCAGGGCCACGGTTTGCCCCATGGTCAGGGCTGATGCAGAGCAGGCGGACTTCACTTGGCTCTTGGCTGTATTGCTTTGGATATTGCCAGTTCGATGGGATCATCTAAACTATAATAAACTGCTCCCCAGCTAAAAATAGAAATGACATACCCTTTACCACTGTAGTGCTGAACTTCAATGATTTCGTGGTACCCAGATTCTCAGCTTTCTACCAAACAGGGATCTCACACTGCTTCAATTCTCATCACATCCCTACTCTCCTGTCATTACTGCTCAGTCCTTTCATTCTGCCAGAATAAATTCCCCAAATTGGACACTATTTGGAGTATTTTTTATTCAGTGTTTTACATTAGCTTACAAACTTAGAAGACTTTTTGCTGTTTCACATGTTTCTTTCACCTCAGACCTCCCTTCTGTTATTCATCACCTTCCTTTAGTTAGAGCAGGCTCATAGTAAAGTTTTTTTTTGTTTTGTTGCTTTTCTTTTTTTTTTTGGTCAGACAATGCTTCTATCTTATACTTGATCTTAAATGCTATTTAATGATATATAATTTTAAATGACATTTATCTTACCTCCTTGATCTATTCCACTGTCTTCTGGCTTTTATTGTTGAGACGCTGTCCTGTTATTTCCTTATCTTTCCTCATCTGCCCTTTCTCTTTGATGTTTGTCAGTTTCACTGCAGTTGATGTAGGTGAGGATTTCTTTTATCTATCTGCTTGAAATATATTTCACTTTCTTAATCTGGGACCTCAGATCTTTCAGGAAGTCTGGAAGATAATCAGCCTCTTTGAATATGGCTGCTCTCCACACTGCTCGTGTTTTGGAACAGTGTCAGCTTTTTCATTTTCCATCTCTTAAGCTCTCATGTTTCCCATCAGTTTGTTTATTTGCTGTATAATAGGGAGTTTATTCAGTCTGTCTCCTAGTTTACTAATTTTCTCTTTGGCTCTCATTAATAATCTTTAACTACTGCCCGGAGTTTTAAATTTCAGTGATTGAATTTTTCCTATCTGGAAGTTATTTGGCTCTTTTTCAGATACCTGGTCTAATTTTTAACACCTTGTTCATTTTTTATTCCATCTTGGATTTGGTTAAAATATTTAGACATTCAACATTCTTGGGAAAGGATGCTGAGTTTTGTTTCTGCTGATCCTTATTCACATTTCCATATGTGTGCTGTAAATTTGGTATTGGATCAGAATGGATTGTTTTTATATGCCTGGGAGACCCAGGGTTAAGGGTTTGTCCATCCAGAAATAATTTGTATTTGCATCTGCCAGGCACCATCATGCTTTGGGTGACTTAAATTAACTGGCTTGTAGTTTTTTGGACCATATAGGTTGTTTAAATATGAACACCAGGCCTCCAAGCCATCTCTCACCTGGTACCTAGACTCCTAGTAGTGTTATGGCCTCCTTTTGCTGGTGGGCTGATTTTCTTTTGCTAGTCTGCACTTTCACTGTAAGGAGGTCTTGGTTCCAACTCACCAGCCCTAACATTGTCTGCAGTTAAGGTTGAAGACTAGAGAAATGGCACAAGGGCAGTGACAACTTCAACTGGAAGGATAATAAAGTTTGAGGGCAACTGCAGGCAGAAGGCAGAGGTGTGTCTGGCAGGGAGCTTGCTAACGTCATGCTGCTCCAGGAGTGTCAGCCTCTTTCAGAGAGCACCGTACTCCCAACAGCCAAGAACCTGCGTAATGCAGAAATGGGTTCATCCTCAGCACCTGCAAAGGGCTGGGGTGACCAGGAAAATGCTGTGGAAGGTGTGAAAGGTTATAGTAACCAAGGTAATCTGGGATGGATTAAAGTACCAAACTGGGAGGCATCATTTAGCACAGTCTTCTGAATTCTATTTTTAAGCGTTTGCAGTAGCAGGAGATATTTTATACCTAGAAAACAATGTAGTTAGCCTAATGAATTGAAGTTCGCTTTTTTAAAGTATTGTTGAAGATAAGTATAATTTCGTCATGCGCCAATCTATTCCCAGAGCCCATGGGCAGCATGTCATCCATGGAAGTGAATATCGACATGCTGGAGCAGATGGATCTGATGGACGTATCTGACCAGGAGGCCCTGGATGTCTTTTTGAATTCAGGTGGAGAAGATAATGCCATGCTGTCTCCTGTCTTAGGTAGGAGGTGACAGACTTGCATAAACATCATTTCCCCGCAGAGGGAAGACATCAGAATAATAACGTACAGGTCTCTAAGCTCCCAGTCAACTTCTTGTTCTACTCACCCGTTTCCACATGTCCAAGTCCGGTCTCACAGTAGTGGAGCAAGGGAAACATTGGCTGTTTAGTCACGAATAAGTGCTCTACCCAAATACCTTCCAAGAACAGAGGGCTTTCTTGCTTTTACCTCCCTCTTCTGTCTTGGAATTCGAGTTAGGTTTTTGTGGTTATTTAAGGACTGGAATGGAGGGGGGGGTGGCGGACTCTGCTGTGCGCTCACTCACCTTGTGCTGGGCGAGCACACACTTGTTTTTAAACTCTTCCCCCTCCATTCAGCAGATGTTTATTTCATCTCTGCTCTGGGCAAGGCTAAGGCATGTGGTCAGCATTTGGCTTCTATTTTTAAAATGAGTTGCACCCGTGTGGGCACTTTCACTCCATTTAATGCCTTCTCAAAATTTCACATTCATTCAGCAAATATTTACCGAAGCTCCAGACCTTATACCTGGGCTCAGTGTAGTTTAATTTCAGACTGGACCTTCCGGATGAGCCTTCTTACATGTGCATCGCATCATTACAAAGAAAGCATTTTAAGTTTTTTCCACATACGAACAAGGGAAAGGCAAAGGGCCTTCCTCCAGCAGCACCTTGTCCAACTCCTCTACACAGTGCCACCATCACCACAGGTTCCACCTCCTCTGAAGTCAAGCCCCTTAGGTTCTTGTCAGTTCGTGTCGTCTTCAACTTCTCTTCTCCCAGCAAAGCTACGAGAACAGTGCCACACACACCCGCTCCACGTCCTGAGAAGGCTGGGCCCCTGGAGGTGGGAAGGAATGCTGACCACTTTCCCAGAGTCAAGAAGAGATTTAGAAACAGTGACTCCATCATCTGCAGATGATTTTGATTCCTTTAAGAACTTATTTACTTCCCATGAAATTGGAGAAATGCTGAAAGATCAGAAGTTTTTCTCTTAGCATTGATTTCTCTGAAATTACTTCCAAGGATATAAAGAAGTAAATCTAGATTATCGAGGTTACATGGAATGGTCCTCAAAAGAAGTACAGTATGTGCCCTTGGGCCTTCAGCACAGTATTTTACGGGGTGTTGTAGGAAGAGTTCAGGATCTTTCCATCTGTCACAGGTGGCAGAAGGGCCAGCACAGGGCCCCTGACTGCCTCAGGCATCACCTAGTTTAGCATTTTCCGGGCACAGTTCCTGCACTGTAATGAGCAGCCTAGTTCTGCAGCCCCCACCCAGCTCACTGGAACAAAAAACTTACTCCCTTTTTATCTAGGCAAGTGCAAACCGTCATTTTCAGTGGCACCTCTAAATTGCAGTACTTTTATCACAGGTTTTTTTTCCTATTTTGCAGGGCCTGAATCAAGTATCGGTCAGAATGAAATTAGTCTTCAGGTTCCAAATCCCTCTGAATTACAAGCCAAGCCACCGTCCTTGTCCTCTACCTGCACTGACCCGGCCACCCAGGACCCCAGTGAAGGTGGGGAGTCCCCCGTTGTTCAGTCTGACGAGGAGGGAGTTGAGGCGGACACTGCTCTCGCCACTTTACACACCGATGACAGTGACTCCTAAATCTGGGCACTTACATTCTTTGACCACCTCTGAAGGAAGACTCAGCTGTGTGTAGAATCCCACTGTGAAAGCAGGTGGTTTTATGGAGGCTCTTGATTTTCACACAGTTGCCAATAATTTGTGAGAAAGTGAAAGAACAGCTAACAATAAAGTTTGAGGACTGACTTTAAAATGAGAGAGTACATGGCCAGTTTGTACAGAAAGGCTTCTCAGTACACACCTCCTTCAGGCCTTAAGAGTGCAGGAAGGGCGATTCATGTCCACGAAGGCCACCGAGGCTCGTGTTGGGCAGGGCAGGGCGGTGCACATCTCCACATCGGCTCAGCACGGAATAAAAAGCGCCCTTCACAGAGAAGTCTGAACTGTGGTCAAACAGCGCTAACGAAGCTGGGGTTTTCATACAATCATTACAGAATTATTAGCAGTCCAACAACTAACCCCTACTTTAACACTAGAAAACACATCTGGGCCCAAAAGATGAGATACATAAGCCCAATCAGTACACCATTCTAACTCCTGACAAGACACCAGTCCCGTGGATGGCTCGTTTCCCTTCCACCACCACTCATGGCCCAGTACCTAGCACCCGGCGAAGGGATAGCTAGCTGCAGCCTGTGGACAGGTTCCACGTGCTTGTCCCACTGGGCCACACAGAAAATAAACAGCAGCCATTTGGTTTTGCTCAAAGGGGATGCAAGCCACCAGCAGCAGGTCAACGTGAGATGGGAGGATGAGAATGTGTTGTCTGTGCCACTCCCTGGCTGAGGGGGGATCCTCAGCCCTCTGCGCAATTCATGTATCAGAAAAGAGAGCTCATTTCATTCACTCATCTTCCACAAGACAGACAAATGTCCAAAAAACTTCGTTTTTATTATTAAACCTTGTAGTACAAACCTGAAAAGTAAACAAAAAACTGGCAATAAACAACATGAAGTCTTCCCTCCCAAGGGAGGAGTGCAGAGCAGCGCTAATAAATTAAATGTCAAACTGTAAGCCATAGGCAGAAGTTTACTGTCAAAAAGAGGGAAAGTACACAGCAAGGCCATAAAAACCGGACAACCACATTGGAAAACACTTGACTCTGTTTATGTAACTGTTAAATATTCCAAAACAGTTCAGTCTTCTGCAACAGCGACCAACACAGCGGATCCCAGGACGTTCCTGACAGCCCCACCGGCAAGCTCAGTGCAACACGGTAGCCACGGGATCGATGAGTCCAATTATGAAACAAAGGACAGCTTGTGAAAACAGTTTCCCTTTTTTATTCCACACGTACTGTACACACAACCGGAGAAGGGCAACAGCTACTCCATTATTATTTTTTTGTTGTTGTTCAGTGATGTAAGCAGCACTTATAAATGTTACAAGAAAAACCCTGTAAGCATCCAATCCAACCGATGAAGAAACTGAAATGTAAGGCTTTTCTTCATCTTGTCTTCTCACCCCCCTCCCCACCCCCCACCGAGAAAAAGGCTCAAGTATTTAAAACAATTTACAGGCGTATGTACAAAAGGATGGGATTTTTTTTTTCCTTTTTTTCTTTTTTTGTTACAACATGAAGAGAGAAAATAGACAAGATGAGCGCAAATGCATTTTCACATTCAAAAAGAACTGCAGACCTCCTAGTGGCTCTAAATGTGATCATAAATGAAACAAATTTAAAAAGAAAGATTAATGCTGACTTGTGAAGGTGAGAAACAACAAGCAGTGAGATGAGGATGGAATGTTAGAAAGATTGCACGTCTATGACAAAGAAGCACTTACGGCTTCAATCACTTTTTTCCTTTTTTTTTTTTTCTTAAGGATGCTATTGAAGGGTTTTTTGATAAAGTAGCCAACAGCACCAAAAAATAACAGAATGGATTTCCTAATGAAATCAGGCACAGGTTTCCCGCACGTGACCCCTCCAAGGCAGGCAGTCTTTTTCTCTCTTTTCTTTTTCCCTTAAACAGATGCATAGTGATGTGCTGGTAAAGAGAACCTAGTCACTCAAATCTCCTCATTTTGCCTATGGTTAGGAAACAACGTCCGCCTCCAGCTGCCATAACCGCCCGAAGAAACAAAATGGGGGTTCTCCGGTTTTAAAAAAGTACAAACTCATCTTGCACATGACAGAAGAAAAGACAGCCAAAGTAAAGCCATTTCTTTTCAAGTTTCGTGTGTGTGTGTGTGTGTGTGTGTGTGTCCCTTTTCCTCTAGAAAAATCTGCTCACATGACTGGTTTTAAAATTTGTTCTCCAAACTTCACCCTCTTCAAAAATGGGTTAAAAAGCCTTTTTTCCCCAACAGTTACAAAAAAAAAAAAAAAAATCAAACAAACAAAAAGGCTTTTGTCAGCCACAGGGGCAATACAAATTAACACAGCCCCTCAAGGGTTTTAAAACAGTGAATATACGGCAGTTTCAAAAATCTGACTGCAGTATCTAGGTATTCTAAGTACAAAAAAAAGTTCAACAGTTTAATGCTAAAACAAAATTAGTTCTCTAAAACCAGAAGAAAATCTTCTTTAGAGCTAGTGCAAAGACAGCTTGTATCCTACAGCAAGTACTCCAAACTAGAATATAATAATTACAAAAAAATAGATCTCAGTCGACCGCGGTGCTGGCAGCTTCACGGTGAGCTCGAAGCACTTCTGGACGAGCTGGAGGAGGACAGCCGGGAGGGCGGCACGTCCACTGTCGCCCTCTTGCGGGGCCCCCTTTTTGGTGCAGGCTTACCGAGACAGTTCTCAATGCTGCCGTTCCTGCCAGGTACCTTGCCACAGATCTGATTGACCAGACTGATAATTTGTTCCTGTTTGGGGTTGAAAGGAAGACACAGAATTAACAAACCAGAAGACTGCCGTCCCCAGAACCACCCAGGGGAACTGGGAGAGCACAGCTCGTCGGCGTGGCCAGGCTACCAGTGCCCCTCGTCAGAACGTATCGGGATGGAGATTTCTCTGAGCATCGCCTGAAGAGTGTGGCTCAAGGAAGGCTGGGAAAGACTCTGGAAATCTCCCCCAGCGATTGCGAGATGCAGCAGGCTTGGAGAACAAGTTAGACTGCTTCGTGAGGACGCGGTCTCTTACCTAGGCACGTAGGATAAAATGCTTTCCTTCTTAGGGAGCAGGAAGAGCTAACCTCCTCGCCCAAAACTCAAGGGAGCCTAATAGCGCCTCCTGGTGGCTGCAAGGTTTAGACAAACTAATATGCTAAAGCCCCGAAATACACAAAGCCCTGTAACTACACAGGGTAAAAGTACGTAATTGTTAGGTCCAGTCTGAGTCTGTACATTTGCCTGGAGTACTGATTCCCTCATCATGTACCAGATGCACCTGAGACAGGCACAGTTACACATGTCAGCAGGTCGACCACCAGGAACCTCCTCTGTGGGGGCTCCATGACTTTGGAGTTTAAAGAGATTAGCTGGCTGCCCTCCCTCCGCCCAGGAAGGGGAGCACTCAGCTCACCGCTTCCACAATGAGCATGTAGAAGAGAAGACCCATGGGCTTGATGAGGCCTCAGGTCCCCTCAACTTGCTCCTTGGATAGTGACAAATGCCTGAAGCTGTTTCAGTGTCTGACTTGACACCTGAGCCTATTTCACCTGCTGTCGCAAATAAACATTTGTTTAGAAAAATTTCCATTACTCCTTCCTTCTCAACGAAAGGCAAATGAAAAACCATGCTTTTTTTATAATTCACTCAAGAGAACAACATATCTGTTGGTATCAAAAATATAGTTGTAACTTTAACTCATAGTCATCCAGTTTTAAAGGACCCCACAGAAAGAATATCAAAATGGTATGTAACCTGACATACATTTCATGAAACCTGCTCTGGGTCAGCCCCAGGACCTGCTCTCTGGCCTTCTGGAAATGGAGCAATGGGAGGCACTCATCATACAGAAGTGACAGGTGTTAAAGGCAAAGAGTGAAAAGTATCTAAAAAGAAAGTTAAAGGTGCCCTAGGAAGGGCCCGGGCTGTACATCTGTAATAAAACAATCTCTGTGGCCATTTAAAACATTTACGATAAACATGCTAATAAAGGACAGATGAGCTTCTCTAAAACCCAGTTACGTGACTAAAGCCACGTGGACACCACGAGGAAGCCCACAGTGTGCGGGCAGAGGGGAGGGCACATGTCTGCTGAGCACTGGGGCTGAGAACAAGAGTTGGTGGTGCTCTCAAAGCCATTTCTGAAATCCAACCCAGAGCTAGAAATTCCCCAATTAAAAAAAAAAAAAAAAAGTTCAACTGAGGGAATGGACTTGCAGATTTTCATTTACTAAAATAAACCAGGCACTGGCAAAGTAGGAGGTTTCTAAGTACCCTTTGATGACTAAGCTTCAGACTGACAGACCCTACATATGTGATTCTTTTTCCAGGATTCTGGTTACATCAAAACACCTAGCGACAAAATGGGCCGGATGTGCAAACGAACCCACATTTTGTAGAGCTTCAAAATCACCTTGGAGACCCTCCGACTGCCGCAGGCTCCCTCTGCCAGTTACAGAGAGCTACTCTGACTCATGCACGAGAGATTATTTTTAACCGTGTTCTGACATTTGCTGTCAAAAGAAGCAGGGGGTGCAACGCAGTACATGCTCTTAGAAAACAAAGATGCAGAGATCTATTTTTAGCTTCCCAATCTTTTAATTTAGCCACAAGCTTATATCAACTCTAACCCATGGCTGGAGCCCCTGCAAATGCCCCATCCCCTCCCACATCCTGCCTGAGCACCTAGCCCTGCCCGGAGGCTCAGGTGTGTGATAGCCAGATGGGGCACCTCCCACAGGACCAGCCTCTGCAGCTCTCATCGGGGAGCAGGAGGGAGGCTCAGGGCAGGGCCTGGGGCTGCACCCTACATACAGCTTGTGGCCGCCACTGACACTGCCATGGAGAGGGCTATACTCCAGAAGATGGGGAGGCGGGGAGGGGCTGCGCAGAGGAAGGGCCCGGGGTTGCCATGTGCACAGGCAGCCCACCATCCCATCTGGAACTGGGCCCTGGCCAAAGATAACAGTGCCGTCCCCCATCTCCCTAGTAGCCAGATAATGTGGCACTGTGGACACCAGGACCCAGATCCTGAAATCAAATCTCTCATAAACAGAGGTCCTGGTGGCCTGGAAAGCTGACGGGAGCTGTCAGGGCTCGGGGTGGGGAGGCAGAGCTGCAGCCCTGCACGAGGAGGTGTGGACAGGGCTCTGATACAAAGCTACAGTTAACATGGAGAAAACTGGAATCGAACCAAGTTTGTGAAAGTGAAATTTCCACAGTTTCAGTTCTGGTTTCTCCAGATCAAGCTGAACTCCCTCCCCAAACCCCCATTTCCCCCACATTGGAACAAAGAGCCACTTTCCCATAAGCCAGGCTGAAAGCACCCAGAACCATGCTGGCTGTACTCAGTCTTAACCATGCCAAGCTTGCCCGAGTTGGATGGTGACAGGCTCAGTCGTCCCTCTTCAGAAAACAAGGGCAGGTGAGACAATGGCCATCCCCTGCAGAGCCCCTGGCTGCCTGGGCACTGGGAAAACCAGAGCCCGGAGGCTGCATCAGGCAGGGCCCGCGGCAGGGACTGACCTCATCATAACGATACATCAGCTTCAGTCCTCGGCAGGACTTCTGCTTCTCCACGTGGCGCAGAGCACACTCCAGGCAGAACACCACGTTCTCATTCTCCTGTACGACCTGCAGGGAAGAAGGACTCCTGAGGTTCTGAGGGTGATCGAAACACTGCTGTGTAGGGGACGTGTGCCTAGGAGGGGCAACTGAAAGCGGGGAGGGTTCTCAGGAACAAATCAGGGAAGGCCTGTCCCTGACGTCTATCGTCCAAGCTAAGCGGCGTCCAGGACTCAAAAACACTGGAAATTGATGGGAGCAAAACAAATCGCCTGGAACAAGGTCTTCAACTGGGAAATGAGTAACTATCTCCAGGGTGCGCCTAAGGGTAGCCTCGAGTTCCTTCCAGATTTCTGCTGCACTTTTCCTGTGAGAGGTTCTAAGCACTGCTGGCTGGTGAAGACGGGATGAAGTAGCAATGCTTCTTGATAAGCTCAAGTTCTAAGAGCTTCTGAGACATTTTGTTCAAAAATTACCCTGGCACAAGAGGTGTCATAATGGCACAGGTGCAGGGAACACACCCAGGACATTCCAGTGGCTCAGTCAATACAGCTGGTTACATGGAAGCTGGCCCTGCACACCACTGGGGGACCCGATGCCTCTGTCCAAACTCACCCCGGAACTCTAACCATCAGAGTTCTCGATCCTCTGCAAACCAGACAGGCTCCCTTCCTGCCAGCCCCCACAAAAGCCTCTAGCTGCTGTGCGAATGCGCACACCAGGCCCCAACACTACACGGAGGGCAGGCAGCTGGCGCGTGGACAGGCCTGATTCAGCACAAGCGGATCTTGACCAAGGGCGGCAGGGGGAAGAGGATGGCTGCCTGGTTTGCAGGGGTTCTTATACCCTGACTTCCAGTTCTGTACTCATTCTGCGTTTAAAGAAAAGAAAAAGAAAATACTGCCTTAAGCCAAAAGATTCAAGGGGTTGGTTCACAGGCCTTTTCATAAAGATTTTGGGGACAGAGCTACGATTCTTATCTTCAGTTTTTCTAAGCAAATACAAGAACACAAGCTGTAGGAGTAAGGAAAATGACACTTATTTGCAAAAACACCTTTTACAGACACTTGGGGCTAGGGACAAGTATGGACAAAAATTTAAAAAAATGGACGAAAATATGAAAACAAACAAAAATGCATAAACTTATTAGGAACCTAAACAATGAAAAAAAACCCTCAATTTTTACCTATGAATTTAGGATATACGCCTTATAAAATAACATTCAGGCTGATAAGAAATGCCTAGTGACAACTCTCAAGGTTCGATTTTCTGAAGGACAGCCTGAAAACGAGCCAACACGTCGCTGTCCGCAGAACCCTCGGGAATAGACCAGTGCCACACGGAAATCATAACAGTGTCATTTATACTCATGGGGAATAATGTGATTATTATTTCCCATGGGAATAATTCCATTTCAGCACAAGAGGAATGGACACACCTAATCTCCTCTTACAAGGACATTAGTAAGACTGGGTTAGGGCCCACCTTATCGGCCTCATTTTAACTTTATTACCTCCATAAAGGCGCTCTCTCCAAAGATAATCACATTCGCAAGTACTGGGGGTTAGGGCTTCAACATCTGAACTTTGTGGGGTTACAAGGAAGGACACTAGCCTTCAGCTTTCTCATTCCTTTTCATCTCAGATCATCCAACTACTTTGAAAGAAACAAAGGAAATGGATTTCAGTGTTACAAATATAGTCTGAACAGAGAACTTTGTGTATCTTTCACGAAACAAGTTTCTCTTCCTTTCTTTTAACCGTAAACATTCTTTTCCTTTCCCCTGGCTTCATTTCTAGGTCCTGAAATTTTAGGTACTAATTCTAAAAATACACCCACTTTAATAAAATGCATTACAATTAAAAAAAAAAGTGGAATACAAAAAAGAGGAATGGACACAGAACTATGTGACCTTTATGAATGATGTTTACAAAAGTAAGATCTGGAGAAATGCTTATAACTTTTTTCTTTTAAAAGATAGCATGGTTCTCTATTTTATCTTTTTAAAAATCCCTAGGAAAAGAAAAACTAGATAGGAGAAAATACGTAAAATGAGACCTGTGGTTGTTATGGACTAAATTATACCTACCCCACTTGCCAATTAATAGGTTGAAGTTGTGACCTCAGTACTTTAGAATGTGACTTTATATAGAGATGGGCCTTTAAAGAGGAGATTAAGGTAAAATGAGGTCATAAGGGTGGCATATGATCCAATATGATTTGGTCCTCATAAGAAGAAGGAATTAATACACATACACATACACACACACACACAGGGCAGACCACATGAGGACACAGGGAGAAGACGGCATCTACAAGCTGAGAAGAGGCCTCAGAGGAACCACGCCTGCTAGCACCTTGATCTTGAACTTCTAGCCTCTAGAATTATGGGGAAGTAAAGGTCTGTTGTTTAAGCCACCCAGCCTGTGGGGCTTGTGGCGGCAGCCCAAGCAAAGTAATGCAGTAGTTTCTCCTGTTCTTTCAGTTCTAGTTCTCTGACCTCTCAGAGATTACAGAGAGCATCTAGCTCAACCGGGAGTGGCTGCTTGGTCCCTCTTGTCTGCAGGGCAGCTGGGCAGGTGCTAGGCACACAGGTGCGGCAGTGTCAGTCACGCAGAGCATGACTAGAAGCTGAGAAGTGAGAGACCTGGACACACTCGCTGCTCCATACCTTGGTGGCTGTGTGTTGCCTCATGCTGAGTCACGTGTGGGACACCGGTGCCATGCTGGTCTGGGGTGGGCACTTACTATCTAAGCTTCTCCTTCTGGAGGAAGAATCCACATGGGCGGGGAGAGGACACCAGCACTGGAGGCCCCGAGTGCCAGGCTGAGGCGTGTGGTGGTGGGGAGCGCCCTGGGTGGGAGCAGTGTCAGGGCAGCTACCCAGTGAGAGACGAGCTGAGGAGCAGAGGCGAGGGCTACACCAGCCCAGTGTCCACAGCTCTCCACTCAACCAAGGTTCTTCCGAGCCCTCTGGCCTGGGACGGGGCGGGGATAGTGCAATGTGTACATAATTGCACGCAAGGCTGAAGCAGCGGGCGGCCCTGGGCCTTTCGAGACCTCGTGATAAGCCCCTCAGGGCGCTGTGGGAGCAAACCTGAAAGAAGGGAAGCCGGACTGGACTGCGCCAGCAGACAGAGGAGCAGGAGGCAGAACTGGCTCAGACAGGAGAGACACCAGAGCCCTCGACAGGCTGCCCTGGACACCTGGGAGGTGACTCTGATCAGAGACAAGGAGGATGGAAACAGAAGGACGTTGCTGGGGAGAAGCAGTTTTAACCAAAGACAGACTTCACAGTTCTCCAGGACAACGATATGAATAGAAACTGGGAAAGAGCCAAGGCTAGATGCGGGGCCCCACGTCTCTTCAGGGGCAGTAGAGGAGGGGCAGCTGAGCCCCTCAGCCGGGGAGTGCCTGGGGATCGGGGTGACAGGGCAGCAGAAGGGAGGGAGGCCCACTTTCCTGCAGACATGTAGCTGCAAGTGAGAAGAGAGATCCTGCGGGAGCGGGTAGGCAGAGCAGAGCCCACCCCGCACTTGGTCTCTGTGACCCTGGCACTGCAAACAAGCCGCCTGACCGCTGGAGGTCAGGAACCTGGCTAAGGTCCGCAGCGGGTCCAAGGGTGGGCCTCCCGACAGGATTCCTGGCGCGGACAGCCCCCCACCCCGCCGGGCGGCTGCAGGCTACGTGCACGCACAAGGCGGGATCCACGAGGGCAGTGGGGTCCTGGCAGGCTCACCATGGACAGGTAGCACAGGTGCTGGCAGATCTGACACCTCCTCTCCGACGTCTCCAACTGCAGCCACTTTCGAGGCTTTTTCTTCCCATCCGCCACAGTGCTGTTGCCGTCGTGGCTGCCGTAGCGGGCAGAGGAGTGGAGGCCGGCCTCGAACAGCTGCCTCCGCTGCCGCAGCTCTGTATCCCTGTCCAGACACAACAGAAGAGCCAGGCCATTAGGAGGCTGAGCGCAGTGGCCTGGCCGGGTCCTCACCATCAGAGGGAACATGCTGCGCCCCAGCCAACTGCCCCCCAATCCGGGTGTTCCCTCCTGTTGGGAGGGCTGGTGAGACGTACACGCTCACCTTCCCAAGGCCCCCAACTGGGGACTCACGTTCTTTAGTCAAAAGGTCAGACAATTCCCCCGGCTTCCGAGGCTACTCTGATGACTGGGCTCTGCCTACAGTTAGCACGAGCGCAACAAACACACCAGGGCACACGGCAAACCCCCTCAGAGCTACGTGGGGTGCCCTGTCCCTTCATTCCAAGCCAAGAACGGATGTAACAAACTATTTGCCGGTATCGTCATCAAAGGTTCGACCAACACGAGTCGAAATCCATGTGCTGTCCTTCAGCACTACCGAGTCTCTCCCCTGGAAGGGAGAGATCACGAAGCTACATGGTGGGAAAAGAGAAGAGGGTTACACAGGAAGCCAAGCAAACAGTCACACTTCTCTTCAATCTCTGCCCTGAGGAGAGCTCCTGAGGTCGCTGCGGGATGAAAGCTGGGCGAGGGCCTCAGATTTGGGGGGCCAGCTGATCACACGCAGGCCCCAGGGGTGCTGCAGCTGATGCAAACTGCCCAGCGATGGCGTCTCACACATACATCACGAGCGGGTTGGCAAAAAAAAAAAAAAAAGAGTGGCTCCGTGGGCCTCTCCACACTCGCCCCAACCTCTAGAAATGAGGCCTCGGCCACCGCTTCCTCCTGGGCACCGTGCTGCTTGGACAAGAGGTTCCAAGGGCCGGAGCCCGCCCCCCAGTCAGCCCCACGTCACCTTTTGCACATCAACACACCAGGAAATCCTGACTCCAAACATCGAGCACTCAGAAGGGGAAATTTAAATAGGAAAATAAAATAAACCACACCCCAAAAGTCTTCACCCATCTGGCCAGGCACCAGGTGGTCCGTGCCATTCTGAGCGAACAGCCATGCCCACCCTGCCGAGCCCCGGAAGGGGCCAGTGCCTCAGCCCTGGTGTTTCCAGAACCCAAGGTCTGTGTTACCTGAGCTCATCCAGAAGGGCCGAGATGGTACTGAGAGTGGGGCCGTTCTCCTTTTTTGCTTCCGCTTGTGCAATCTGGTAGAGTAACTTCTCCATGGAAAATGGCTTAGCTATATGGCGACGCTTCATTTCCTGAAAGAGGCAGTCACATCCCTTTAGGGTAGATTTCCATTACTAGGCAGCTGTCAAGGTTTTTCTTTATTGGGCAGGGGACGCTATCTGAATTTTCAAATTTTGAGTTCCACGTGGTTTCAAAAGCAACTGAAAATCATACAAGGATCTTGTTTGCCTATGAGAAAGGCACCAGACACCAGGAGCCACTCCTGTGAGTCGTCAGCCACAAGACAGGTGGTGCCACGCAAGACTCAAAAATGGGCAAAGACTTTCTACTCATTTTAAGTGTTCGCCCTTAAGCACCTTCAGTACAGTCCTCAGTGTTACTGTGGGCCAACAAGGGGACTCAAATCTTTCTTGATACCAGCAAACTACCAACAGATTTCCTTTCTGAGTACACCTCTCAGCTGCCTCTTAGAGGTTTCAAAGGCATTTTCTAAAGTTAAACATATCTAATAAAAAAAGCTCACACAGAGACATGTGCATGATGCACGTGCATCTGCACAGTGGGCCAGCAGTTCCCAACCTTTTTGGCACCAGGTTCTCCTATGAGAATCCAATGCCTGGTGATCTGAGGTGGAGCTGAGGTGGTGATGCTAGTGCTGGGGAGCGGCTGCAAATACAGAGGAAGCTTCACTCACTCGCCTCCTGTTGTGTGGCCTGGTTTCTAACCAGCCACATACCAGAACTGGTCTCTGGCCCGGGGGTTGGAGACCCCTGCAGTGGGTGGTGTCAAGGGCTCGTATGCCTACCTTGGCCGTCTCAAAGCCCATACTTGTCCACTGGGTGGTGGCGAAGTGCACGGTCTCAGAGACGCTGTAGCCGCAGCACACTTTGGACACAAAGGATCCTGGGAAGCAGACGACGAACTGGCCGCTCTGCTGCACGGTCCTGTGCACCTTGATCCCCTCTTTGCACAGCACCTCTGGGGAGATCTGAGGAGACAGGCCGGGGCTGATATGCACTCTCTCCGCCACTCTCTCGACCAGTGTCCGGCCCCCACCACCCACCACTGCCCCTGGGACCCCTTCTGTGAAAGCCTTGAGAACCAGCGTCCCACACACCCAGGCATGTTAACATGCACACCTGTCCTCCAGGTGGGGCATGAGGACTCGAGGGGCCACGAGGAGACAGATTAAGTTTGGTATTGAAGATATTTTGTTTCTCCTTTAGAAAATAAAGATATCTAATTTTCTAAAACAACGAGGAAGATCTAAATGGACAGTGGCCGAAGACTGACAACAGAGTCACCCAGGTGCGTGGCCACTGTGAGGACAGAGCCCTTCCTACCACACTGGAGCCTTCCCTGTCCCTGGCCAGCACTGCTGGGGCTGGAAATAGGATAAGTTCCCACCACTAGGAGGGCAGCTGAGCTAGCGGTCTCCAGAGTCAGGTGGAGCCATAGGGGTACAGGCTGGGGGCTTTCAGACCTGCACCCCCAGAGAAGCTGCTGCTCAGCTTCCCTGAGCCAGACCAGGAGGCCCAACAGAGACAGGAGACCCAGGCAGGGGTGAGCAGTGGCCAGAGAGGCCCTGAGCTCAGGCGTCAGCACACAGCTCAAGGCTAACAAGACTCCCGGAACTCAAAAGCCCCATGAACTTCTACAAATGGGCCTGTGTGTTCATCCTAGTAAGGTCAAGAATTCCTGACCTATGGCCCAGGCATCCAGGGGCCCAGCAAGTGGACACAGCAGCACCACCAGAACCCCGGAGTGGCTGCCCAAACGCAGGACCCCGCCCAGTCCCCACGCATGAAACAAAGACGCTCCGAAACAGATTCAAAGGCCACATGTGCAGGAACCCGATGTCCTGTGCAATCTGAGGACAACATTTGTTTAGTAGTTCAGTTTCCAGGATTTATTTTCTGTTGTCCTCTTTGCCTCTGAAAGGCAGGCCACCAAGAGGGTGCCTTGGTAAAACGGCTGTGACCCTCCCCCTATGCCCGTGTTTCTGGGTCTCGGCGCCAGGCGGGAGCTGTACCATGACGTTGCTTTCCAGCATCTGCAGCCCTGGGGTCCCGTTGGCTTGCAGCAGGGTGTGGACCACATCTTCGAGCTTGTTCTCCTCCTCAGCAG